TTGATTGAAATTTCTTGATCTCTCAATTTATTAAACTTCCCTTGGTACCCCAAAAATTTTAGCTGACGGCGTAGTATGAAAAATAAAACTATTTTTATGTTGCATGCTCAGTTCTAGACAACTGAGTTAATTGTAGTGAGCTCAGCAGCGGCCAATGAATAGCCTTTTGTGTGCAAAACTTTTGATACCTATCTTCATTACAAAACATCTGTCTCTGTCTGTTTGTTGGTTTGATTGAAAATCAATCCGTAAAGAGGCCGGAAAGGCTGACTTTTGGGCTAAAAGGGTTTCATTTAGAGAAAACCTGCACCAAAGATGGAGCCAGTTGGGTGAGTATGCTTTCTTGGGGAGTTCTTTTCCCCATAGAGCGTAATGTTAAGTTTAGAAAGTTGATTCCTTTTTTACTATTTGTCTGACACCCGTTGAGTTTTTGAGAAGGTTTCAAAATGGGAAGTTGTTTGCTCTTTCAGGTACTGAACCATCTTGATTCATTTTTTTCAATTCAAACTTCTTTCTTCCATAGGGCATGATATAAATTTGAGCTTATTGATATTTTTTGATGATTTACTCGAGCACTGTAAAGAACTGGCAGACAGTTTATATCGAAAATGTATATGTTCGTTTCATATTCTGCAAGATGGACGTTAGAGGATAATTTTTAATATTTCACCTTCTCCTAATATAACGGAAAGTTGTGATTTTTACCTAAATGGTTCAGAGTTAACGGAACATAAGTCGTAGTTCATATTGTTTGGCTAGTACTTTTTCCATGGAGTAGTTTGTTCCTTTAGATCATTCTTAATACCAATCGAAAATCCCTGACAGATCAAATCGGAATGTCATGTATGTACCCAAATGTTAGTTTTGGAGTAAATGCTGTTTGTAAACTGAAAACTTAACATTGTGTTCTACATAAGGTGAGATTTTTCTTTACACAGATTCGATAATAAATTATAATTAGATAGATAATTTCGAATAATTCGATAAATAAATGTCCCTTTATTTAAAATAGATACTTTGGCTTTTTTAGGTAAAACATCAGCTTTGACATTTGTTTCACTTATGTAATAATAGTGTGAAAAACATGTTCTGAGAGAATTTTGAACAGTTTTTAAGGAACGAGTTCCTAATAACTGTCATTTGGAATGTGGTAGTAGCTGACATGGTGAACCTTTTAATAAAGCACATCTTTTTTTTATTATTTGAAAGATTTTATGAGAAAAATACACAAAGAACCGAATATATTTTTTCTATATGAGGTGCTACTTTTATGGTGCTTGCCAGTGAATAGGTTTCGAAGAGTTGAATGAAATTGCTACGCATCTCCCTATACCTAGAATTGATATTTCGGTAAAGGAAAAGCCAAAAACCAAATCTACTAGCTTCTTCCCTCGTATGACACTGGGTGAAATGTTTTTGCATAAAAATCTGCAGGGAGTATATGCGGTGTTTATCAAGAGTTCTCAGTGAGCTGAGTCGAAATGCAGTACAAGCCCATATAAGTAAATTTCAATGCCCGGATTAACAATGCCATTTGTACCGTAAAAATATAATATGGCGTTCTATATAATGGTTTTTTGACATCAAAAGATAAACCCCGATGAGCTGAAATGGGGGTGATTTTAAGTACAAATGGCAAAAGCTCTATTGGTCCTATCGATTTATATATGTAGCACTGAAGTGACAACGCGTTTTGAGCTGGTTTAGAGTGGTGTTATGAGCAACTCTCTAAACGTTGATTGCAATGTTGAAGCGGTAAACGGGGAGTCAATTTATGTGAAAAGAATCTTAGTTTATTTTCAAAGAAAAATACTTAGATGCCAAAACATCTATATAGTTCTTTTTTATGAAAAGGATGAAAGAATCTCTAGTATTTAATGACTTTTTTTTAAACTTTTTTTTCTTAAATTAATATACTGACTGAGACATATTAGTTATTTATGTTTCCATTTAACATAAAATAGGTTACTATGTATTAAAAAGAATTAACAAAAGGAAGAAAAATGTTTAACTCAACACTTTAACAGTAGCGCCGTAGGAAAAGAATCAGCACGTCAAAGCATGTAAAATCTTCATGAAGCACTTATTATAGCGTCAGTCAGCTTACTATTTACGACTACTTATTGTTAAAAACAGATGAAAAACCCTACGTTTTGGTGATATGTTGAGCATAGAGTAAATTTCTACTTGATATGCAGCGTTCACTCGAGGTCAGCCGAAGACGGACCCGATTTAGGATTGTCTGTCAGAAGTCGGCCGACCTAATTTCCGCGCATACCAAAAAAGTCAGTTGGCCAACACTAAAAAAGCACTGTAATCACATTATAGATACGTGTGAAAAGCCAGCATATCATGAGCTAAATAAATTTAAAGTTGGCTGAGCATTTTGGTGATTATTTTACAGCAGGCTAATAAAGTAATTACAGAAAGGTAACGATAAGAAGCTAACGGGTAAAGTAATAACAAGATAATAAGATTATTACAACAATATATTTTTTCCTCTAATGTCAACCTATAGCGTTCGTTAACCGAAGTGAATGAATCAGATTAGGTAGATTAATTAATGACAAGACAGGCGCGGGGTAAACCTTGCAGGTCCGTCCAGTGAAAACATTTTGGTGGAAGAAGTCACACCTCATCTATGGGACGAAAAATCACAAACGTTTATTTTTGAACAAAGAGCCGTCCCTTGTATAATTATAATGCTATGTAGGTTCTTATAGTATGGTCCTATGTAAGGTAGTTGACACAAAATATTTGTTTAATTATAGCAATTCTAAGAACCTCTGGTCTAGTAGCTTACAAATCGTATACTTACTTTAAAAGTACTAACACGATCTAAGGACGCACATTATGAAACTGATACTAGCGTCATTTTTGAGAAGTTCGAGGTTTGAAACGAGCGCTTATTGTTAATACGCTCTTTTCTAGTTACCTTAGGTAATGAGACTCTTTGTTGAATATAATGAAACAAATTATTTTATCGTAACATAAAATTATTTTTGAGAACTTCGATTAGATGTATTTTCAAATGATATACAATTAGTTGTTTCAAAGTTATTAGACTTTATATAGTATCAATGGACATTCACTTTTAGTACTAACTTTATTGGCAAGACTTTTTATCGGTATGCCGTCCAAACCCCAGAACTCGCTCGATTTGGCCTTCGTGACATATATTAAAAGCGAAGAACCTCAAACAGAGAAAGCCTACTAGGTAAGAAGTAACAAGAGATGAATGTTGATATAGCTCGATTTAATAAAGAAATCCCAATTTAAATAAATACTTCAAAAGTCATAAGACAGTACGCCAGTATTGTATTTGAAGAGGGTTACCTTGAGAAGCGTAAAAATAAATCATCAGACTCAGATCATTAGTTACCAGTTCTATTTTTTTCTAATAAGATCATTTTAAGAACATTTTCTAAAAAAAACAGGCACTCTGTCAAGGATTAAAGTAAATACAATCTAATTTTTGTTAGTTATTTATACACATCACTCAGTCTGCAACTGTTACACTTCGCAAGCACATAATAATACTGTAACTGTGATATACATAAGATATTAGGTAGGTAAATTAAGTATATATATATATATATAAGGACTCACCAATGATTACAGCTTAGTACTTAGAGCCCAAATAAGGTATTTCATGAAATTAACAGGGATGTTTAACTATTGATACTAGAAGAAATCAAGTTGACAGACATCTATACTAAGGCTGCGGGAGCAAGGCGTCTTGTTGGTATCAATTAATAGTCGAGAAAAACCGTTTAATAGCACCAGGCCAAGGACAGGTACCGGTACGCCGGCTCAAGCCGACGGTAACCCTAATTCTATGAATACCGTACAGGCATATTACACAAGCAAGCAAAAAAATCTTTCTTTTGAATGGTATTTGTATGGTAATTCCATTTCTAAATGTTTTTGGGAGACGTCATATTGCAAACAAATCGCTTTCTCGTTTTATTTGGACTATTACCAGTCCTCAAAGTGCCACAGTGCTTCAAGGATGATTACGGGATAAGTTGAAAAAGTTTTAATGATAACGTTATAGGCGTCCGAAGACTAGCTCTACCATATAACTCAATGTCTGATATTTCAGTTTGTTATATTGAAATATTGTTTCTGTGACACCTGCCTATAAATCTATGTTGTGTAATATCCAATGCCTCCTATATTTTGGAAGCATGGTCACCTTAAAAATTAGTAGTACGTAGGTTATTATGAGACTTTTGTTCGAAGATTTGGCTTTTTCATAATAAAGTATCTGAAGATTGCGTTAACAGCAGTTTACTTTACATGATCGGCGATTTTTTGCTTAGTATAACCCAGTTCTACTGTAATTACAACTCTCAGGTCTCTAATAGCGTTTACAACTGGTAGTAACTTTCTAGTGCATTACCGAGTCTGAGGTGGGTACGTTTTGGTATAGGAATTATCATCACTGTTCGGATGCTTCATTTCGAGTGAACTGCAGTATTTAGTACTAGGTATAGTTATCATTTTATCTTCACACCGGAAATCAGCCGTCTGATGCTATCAAACGCAGTCCTAGACATGAACTCAAAATACAAATTTCCCGGCCGCTGAATATTTTGCATCCACATAAAAACACAGGTTGTATTTAACGTCTGTATTTCCAGGATTCACTACTATACAATGCTAACTTTAAATTGTTCGCCATCCCTCCGCCAAGCAAAACGAAGCTCTCCTAATATGTGCAAGCAATAGGTACGGGCTTCGTTGATTAATAGGACAATTCGCGCTATATTTTGGTTAAATTATTTTTTGTCTAGCATTAATGATAATACTAAACGAGAAATTTTATCTGCATATAAATAGAGGTTAGATTGCATAGCTATTAAATTTACTGAGATTACAGGCCCTGTTCCAGTATAAGGAAGTCGTCATGAGATGACCTTGAATTATCTTTTTTTTTCGGTTTGCCGTGTCACTATGATATTTTTAATTCCATTATTTGATGCTAAATCACGTACCTCTCTGTTGTTATCAGAAGGGAAGTTATCACGCTGTTGAACAGAAGCAAAGATGTAAAGAATCCTAACACTTTGCAGTATGAACCAATCACATTTGAGTGTCCATAGATGTTTGCGAGGGAGGGCGCCATTACAAACAAAGAAGCCAGTACACCGTTAAGAGATAAATTGATAATAGCCAAATGGTCGACTCCCCGCCGCTTCCGTTGGCTTAGTAGAGTTACAAGAAGCAATAAAGAGTTGCTGAGTAAAGTTGACAACGTGAGTAGCGTGAGTAGAAGTAATACAACCGAGTAGCACGGTTGTGTTGAGAAAGTAGAGTAAGGCGTTTCAATGGATTGGCCAGGGTGGCCCAGCTGGTCTTCGACGCCCATCCAAGATGCCAAGGCGGGCATTTGTAGGCCCTTAGCACGCTCCGAGGCGTAGAAAGGCCGTTTCGCCACCGGCGTGTGACTCGTTTACTCCGCATGCGCTATTTGAAAACTTAATTTAATCACAAAATCAACAGCAGGGACAATCTCAGAAGCCAACAACAAACTGTAACCTTATAAATAACATTACTTTAACACAAGCGCCCGTCATTATTTTCGGATCCGTTCTGCTGAATTATCCACAGATCACCGGAAATTTATTTAATTAACGTTATGGTAGTAATAAGCCATGGTTCTCTCTTTGTACCCGTAACGTTCGATGTAGTTTCAACATTAGCCTTAGCTGCTATAACACCTAGATGCAACACTAATTAGAGTTTGAAGACCTTACATGATTTCAGATCTAACCTAGCAACTTGACGGTCATGCACGTGTGGATTTTGCATATACCGAACAGCATATTACTTTATTGCGTTGACTCCAGCTTTGACTGTCCTTGCTGATGTTACTTCTTCCGGAACTATTATCAAACTGCTAATAATACATATGTTGTACTACTGGGTTTAGAAATGCAAGCAGCAAGAGAGGAGCGTTTTGTGGAAAGGGATTATGCATCGTATTAGTAACGCTGTTGATCACGTTAGGCTAAGCAGAGCTTGTTCACTACTGTTTTAAAACAGTAAAGAGCATTTTTGGATGGTATTTCTAAAATTAGATGCATAGTTGCACTCACAAGAGGTCTCGAGAAATACGGTAAGGTTTGAGTTTCATGAGCATTTAGCATGTGCACACTGCCAATCAATCTCGCTCACATTAATGGCGCTTTTCAGCTTTGGTAGCTAATACTGTTATATTCACATATCATAATAATTTGGATTAGTACTAAAAAAGTACGTTGCGTACAACTCCGATGTATATTTTCGAACTAAAAAACATTTCTATTTCTTCATCTAGTTAAGGAAATTACCGTATGTCCACTAAATTATTATGTCTAAAACTCAATATGCTTAGCGCAACCTTCCGTTCTTTAAAACTTTTAACTTTTATAATAGTAAAGATATTTTTAATATTTTATTATTTTATGAATCCAGTTTCAGTAGCCAATAAACAAAATATAACATCAATTAAAAAAGGATATATTCGGATATTTTTCGGGTGGAAAGTACGTTTTAGTGGTATGGTCGTCTCTCCCCAAATTTAAGTCAAAACGTGCTGTTTGTACTTCTAGGTAGACGGGGATGTCTTCGAGGATTGCATGCTTGCTAAGAACAAGTAACTAGTTGCGTGACCTGGTGATCTGTTAATGAGGAATTGCCTGTATTTGCCTTATGCATCTCTTAGTACTGTTCTCTGCATTTTCACTAACCTTTCCTTAACGCCAGATGGTCGAGGCTGGCCGCCACATTTATAGCACTGAAATTGCTAAAAAAAATTGTTATTGACATTGCCAGAAGGTTAACAGCTATATTTTTAATAAACGATGGAAATTTTGAACTAAAAAGGACCGATACATAATAGCAAACGGCCGGTAAACCTGAGCGATATGCCTCAAAACCTGTTCTGGAGATTTCAGGGGTACCATTCCACTTGCAAAGTCAGTTTCACGTCACAGAAGAACTGGTCCATTATCGACCAAGGGACTAACAGAAACACGGTCAATGTGAATGGTATTGAACGTCAGGCTTTATGTTCTGTTAACTTTCGTGGTCAAAGCATGAGTGACCTAGGCCTTACCTAATAGCGCCAAGAACTCTACATACAAGATTGTTCAGTTCCACACATCTCGAAAAAGTACCCTTATGTGTCTCGAGTAGTATGTCCATTGAATCGCTTGATCTCGCTTGTTGCTCCAAACAATTTGTAACTAATTACTCAGGTTGAAGGGTAATCAAGGCAAAATTTAAGAAGCTAGTCGGCGAGGGAACGTAATTTAGTAGATAGTAACAGGAGGTGGGCTTCTCCTTCCACGTCTTTAGCAGAGGCACATCAGGGTGCATTGTTGCAGTTTATCGAAACCATCTTGCAGATCGCGGATGGTCATTGACAAGAGGTATCTCAAATATTATTTGAAACTTCCAGTTTTCGTCCATCATAGTACATATAAAAGCGCATTTTGAAAGACATGAATACTGAACAATCTTAGACACAGTGGTAATAACTAATCCATGGTTTTTAAAAAATGAGACAGTAAGCGGGATACTTAAGTAATTAACAAATTTTTTGTCTTACCGACTAAACGATACAACACAATTCTTTCTATTTTCGGTCGAGAGAAGCTGAATGAGAGAAGAATCCAGTCTTTATAACTAAAGTATGACACGATATATTCTATATCAGTGTCAGTATTCACTATTCTTTATACAATCTTACCCCCTAACTGATGGAGGGATACGTCATAATCTTATACATCCCAAAGATAAATTCAGAAACCGTTTACATACGCTCAGAGAGAATGGAAACGACGCTTGTGTTAAAGGGAAAGCTTATCAACTCCCTGGAAGATGTGTTTCTGTGGCTTACACGTAATAACCGAAGACTTGGCTTCAGTAGCTTATCCGAAGAGGCAAAAGGCCTCTACCGGGCGTTTTCTTGATAACAGTTTTTAGGTAATAAATCTGAGCTCTACTCCAATCTATTTGGGCTTTGCAAGCGTCTCAGACGTTTACACACTCGTAGGATCACGCCTACTTCAGAAGACTATGTTACTAAAGAAGATAAAATTTTTGTTCATAGTTTTCTATTGCAATTAATGAAAAGAGAGTTTAATGTGATTATTTTTAGAGAACTACCTCCTGCACCATTTGACGCTGGATGACTTTTGAAACAGCCGCATGAGACGCTGCTAGTACCAACTTCCATCTACGTCGACAACTAGATACCTTGCTTAGGTGACTTTCTTTAATTGTAGGTACACGTAGTCTATTCGAGAAAAACAGATCTGGTGGGCTGTTTTTTTCGAACCGTTCGCACCTGCTATTTAGCTCGTAAATTACAGAACTCTCTTCGGTAACGCTGGTAGAGATGCAGACTGCCGCAAAGCTTCTGGTTGTAAGCTTTAAAGTATTATACTAGGTGTCTTCCGCCAAACAGCTAAAATGGTATAAGAACGACTCTCTAATTATACCAGAACAACTTTTAAAAAAAAGGTCAAAAGCTAATTTCGGAAATGGCTCAGCCAGCGTGCAACGGCATCTCAAGAATACAAGTGTTGGCTCATCACTGGGCCCTCTCTTCGGTCAATCAGCCAAAAACTGAGGGAAGCTGCGCTTTTAGTTATTGTTTAAGAAGAGGGTTGCGCTACGCAGTCTTCAACTTGGTGCACAAAAAAAGCGTGTACAGATAACTGAACTTTAGCGGGTGCCGAAAACATCCGACCCCCCCCCCTTCAGGTTTCCTTTGATTGCTTCGGTGAAATCGGTGGTGTACGAATCATTTGTACAAAAACAAAAGAACAGAGTTGAAAAGCAAGACAAAAACTGCGCGGAAAAGGGGAACACTACTCAAAAAATAAGAAGTACTTCACTAAACTAGATAAACATCATCAACACGAATACTACAAAATCCCCAGTGATCAAAACAAGAAGGAGGTTTTATAAGGTGAAAAAAGAACCGCTAAGTGAGAATTGTAGAAGCAAAATTATAACCGGTATTTCTCGCTTAATTTTCCTCTATAAAAATAGGGACTCGATATGGTTACAATCAGAAAAATTAGTAGGTATGAATATCTGCCACAAATGAAAGAAAAAGACATGAATACAGCATAGAAAAAACACTAAGATTACAACTTGTTTCAAAAAAAAAATAAGACACGCATAATATAAATAGATACATGTCCTTCTCACTATTAGCTAGGTAAAGTTTTGCTTAAAAAAAACAGCTGTCAGAATGTTCACTCTGCCTCTACAAGCACTCTCGGAAGTACAAAATTTCCTGCAATGTTACCTATGCTCATTATCCCGTGCAGGTATTGTTCGGAAAATGTGCCGCAGACTCCTCTGTCACTCCCAAAGTCTTCATGATTATTGGGTCGTCGTATTTCCAACTCTTTCGTTACTCTGTCAGACCTGCTTTTTAAACGACCCATGTTCTGTAGCGTTAGCTACACTACATGATCCCACACGAGCCATTTTCTGGACGACCACGATGTCAGTGTCGTTCCATCTGTGCGAAAAGCTGAATTGGTCAATACATTATTCCGACGACGATACTCCGATTCCTTACGATACAATACGTGGCGTAACTCCATAGTCCTAGATATAACGTCGTTAATTCCCGCTTGGAAAGCAACTATATTCCGTCTGATGATTAAGGCTACGGTGTGTTTTGCCTCATTTATTTTACTTTTGATCGTTGTCCACATCATCCGCTGAGTCTCTTTGAGAATTATGTTGTCGGATTTTTCATAAAATCGCTTCCTGAACTGCGTACCATTTACCTCGGTACTGAGCTGTTTTTACGAACTTCTCCATATTTCAAAAACTCGCGTTTTCTTTCGTTCAGTTACTGTATATCCTCGGAAAAGCGCCAGGCCATACGGGCTTCCGTATTGAATGCCACCAAGAGTATAGATCTAAAGTTAGTAGAGCGTAATACACGACGCACATCATTGAGTATAAGGATACAAAGCATGCTTGAATAGCTTTCAGTATTAAATGTCTTCTTTAAAATTCAATTTAAACATGTTTTTACTGTCGGTTTAGTTAGCTTTAGGAAAAAAACTCTAGTGGAATGTGCTGTGGCCTCGCAGCCTATCCTGACTCCACTGAGGACTTGTGTTGAAGCTACAAAAACAAGTGTCGTATTCTTAAGAATTATTAGCCTTCCCGCTGTATACCGCATATATACCTACCCGCTATATATATGTAGTTTGAGCCTACAGCTATCTCAGAGGAAGTACCTGAGGCGGTTCTGTACACCGCAACATATATTTTACCTGTAACTCTCCCTTTCGGAATTGCGAACACCGCGCTGACAAATGCACAGACACACGATCAACTCCGCAAGTTGTTTCTTGCACAGACAGACTTAAGAGCGTCAATCAGGCCATGGCAGGTCTAACAAGGCCTAAAACAACTGAAAATGTCTTGAGCGGCTGCGAAAAATA